GAGACACACGTTAGGCACGAAGTTATGACCCATGTGTGATGGGCAGAGAAGGGAGCCCAGAGGCACCTCCTGTGGGCTGGTGGGAGTCGGGGGGGCATGGAGGGGGCCAAGTTAGCTGGGCCACAGTGCTTCGGGGAGCAGGAGGAGCCCCTATGGGGCCCGAGACAGCATGGCGTTCCTAATGCAGCCAGAGAAGCCTCTCAGAGGAGCGGAAACACGTGTGGGAGGTGAATCCAAGGAGAAGACGAGACAGCCAGGCCGGGCTGTGCAGGGCCAAGGGAGGAGCATGGAGACAGAGGAGCATGCTGCCGGGAGGACCAGCATGTGGGGCTGCAGCAGAGGGAAGAACGAGGGGGCGAGCAGAAGTCACTGGGCCACATCACGAGGTGACCACACTCTGGCTTGTCCTGGGGTGACTAGCACAGAGCCCTCGTGCGTCTGGGGTACGCCTCAGGTTGCACCCAATGGGGGAGCCACTGCACAAGGAACAGATCAAGGGGAGCCATTCCCACAGTGCCAGGTGGGTGTGTGCCCAGTGTCCAGAGAAAAAGATTCTCTCCTTGACCAAATTTTAGCCACGCTCCTCAGCCCTCTTCCCAACTCCCAACCAGGCCTCAGCCTTGACCTATAAAAACCACTACAGGCCCTCAAGCTCGTGGTATCGTCGACTTCCCTCCTCCCACATCGAAGAGTTAAACAAACACTAAAATAGCTTCTAAGAGTTCTAGGTTGCAGTCCTAGGATGACCCTAGCCCACCTTAAAGCTCCGGCCTGAGAAAGGTCAAGGCCGTTGAAAGACCATCGACCCCACACACCAGGCTGCCTTAGAGTATTTACCAAAAAAGGCTTATAATTGTGAGTTCTTCCCCTGTCCCTTTGAAATGAATTTGTATCTTCTGCAATTGAGGAGTGTCTTTCTCAAGGACCTGAACGCCATTCCTTTGAAATGAATCCTCAGGAAGGATGGGGCTGTCTCCTAGTTCTGTGGGAGGACAGAGCCAAACCAATTCCTGCCAGCCAGCAGACACAGCGGGCATAAGGAGCGTTTACTCACCAGCCCTTCGTAACGGTTCACGTCCCTGAGTCTGTCCAAGCCCCCACCAGTTCCCTCTCAGTAAATGCCCCATCATAAATTGCTTCTGGCCTTTTGGCTTAGATCAAATGTAGTGGTAGTGTCTGTCTGTCCTTTTTTTGTGTGCCCACCACCACAATCAAATCATCTTCTGTCATCATATACACTGGCCAGATTATGATGATCTCTGAACCCATAATAATCTGGCCACTCTCTCTATATATAAATTAGAAGCCCAGTATATGAATTCGTGCATGAGTGGGGTCCAGCCAGCCTGGCCAGGGGAAGGGGACATGGGTGGTTGGCCGGCCTGCCTGCTGGTCCAACTCCTCGTCCAGAGGACAATTTGCATATTAGGATATCCTTTTATTATGTAGGATATATACCAAGTGGCCAGATTATTATGTGTTCAGAGATAATAGTAATCTGGCCACTCGGTGTATATGGCGTCCTTTCCCTGTAATACCATATCCCCGCCCCCCCCCCCTCGTGTCTGTTCTTGTTGGTTTAAAATGCCCGGTAACCTCTGTACAAATGCAAGTGGCACTGAGTTCACGCTGGAACCCCTCCCCTAGGACAAAAGGATATTGCTGATTAAAATCTGTCCTTACCACTTTGGTGCCTGACTTGATCTTTGGCATCAGTACGTCACTGAGTCATGGAAGCGTCAGGGTTGTTTAAGGGGGTAATGTGCTAGAATTCCTCACTCAGCTAAGTCACACCCCATTGCAGTTATCAAGACTGAGTTGCAAGTAACAGACACCCAGTTCAAACACCAGCCCAGATTAGTCAGAGGTTGGGGGGTTGAGGGGGCAGGAATTCATTGACTAATGAAACTGGGGAAACTGAGCTAATATCAGCTTCAGACAAAGCTGGATCTAGGGGCCCAGACAATGTTAAGACTGTCTTTCATACACCCTTTTGGTTCTGCTTATCTCTGTCTCTTTATAAGATGGCCTCACCCTCTCCTGCCATAGTCTCTCTCCACAGAGTGTAGACAGCTGTCAGTTGCTTTACTCTAGTCCTGCCTGAGATCCAAAAGAAGCCTTTCTCGGCAGCTTTGCCTTACTCTCATGGAATGATTATAACTGGCCCTGCCAAGTCACATGCCCACCAACAAGGACCAATCACTGGAGACAATCAGACAGGGAAGTGCTTGGCTTTCCACCATGACTCCCCACCACTCTCTGGAGTGAGGGACACAGTTCCTTCAGAATCACAGGAGATGGGGAAGAGTTAGTTCCCCAACAGAAAAAGGAATGTTGAGCTGACAAAAAAAACAGATGTCAGTAGCCCTGACTGGTTTGGCTCAGTGGATAGAGGATCAGCTTGCGGACTCAAGGGTCCCAGATTTGATTCCTGTCAGGGGCTTGCTTGTACCTTGGTTGCGGTCACATCCCCGGTAGGGGGTGGGCAGGAGGCAGCTGATCGATGTTTCTAAGTCTCTATTCCTCTCTCTCTCCGTAAAAAATCAATAAAATACATTTTTTTGAAAAAGAAAGAAAAGGATCCCTGGGCCCTGGCCAAATAGCTCACTTGGTCCCCTGGTTAGAGCATCCTCCCCACATTGCAAGGTTATGAGTACGATCCTGTGAAAGAAAAGAGCCACACGCTAACCTGACAAGCTCAGGGAAGGCCTTCGTGACGGTCTTGCAAACCCAGAGACCTAAGATAACCACAAGAGATGGTTTGAACATTAAATATCTAACAGGTTATAGTAGGTAGTCATGTCCCAGAGATTTCACCTGACAAAGATCAACCCCTAAGCCTTCCTGCATCTGAGATAACATATCTGCCAGATGTCTGGGTAACTTGTAACTTCCTTTTTACCCCGGACCCCTCAGGGCACACAACAAATGACCTCGAGACATTCCTCATTGTTATTGTTATCAAGTTAATTGTCAACTGTTAATTACGTTAGGGTATCCAGTATCCATCTCTGTGAAAGAAGCTCATGTCCATCATTTAACCTTTTTCCCTATCCCAGAGGTTTCCTTCCCAGCTTCACTTTGTCCCACCTCCCTAATCTATCGCCAATGAATTTCATGTAACTCACCTACGTCCCTTTCCTTTGATTGCAATGTATAAATATATAATAGAAACGTAACCCGCCATTCTCCGGTGCATTATCTCAATCCGTTGAGGTTCTGCTTCCTAGCACATGTCGACAATTTTGGCTCAAAGAAACTCACAAAAAAATTCTTTACAGGTTTCAATGTTTTTTTTTCCGTTAACAATCCCCATCGGAGTACGTACAAGAATCAACCAATGAATGCAAAAATAAGTGGAACAACATGCATTCCTCTCTCTTCCTTGCTCTAAAATAAAAAATAATAATAAGAGGCTCGCTGTACGGCTGCCAGGCTGGGAGCGGCCAGGCCCGGGGGAGCAGCCGGGTCGGGTGCGGCCAGGCCCGGAGCAGCAGCTGCCAGGCTGGGAGCGGCTAGGCCCGGAGCAGCAGCAACCAAGTCCAGAGCAACTAGGTCGGGAGCGGCAGTGACCAGACCCGGAGCAGCTGATTGTGGAATGAACCAGAGCAACAGAGGCCAGGCCCTGAGCAGCCAGGCCCAGAACAGCTCGCTCCTTGCCTGCCCCTGCCCCACGGCTGCTTCTCAGACATGGCTGGAAACTTTCGTGGGAACTTGAGGGTCTGCTGAATCAAGTGATGAAGGCTTAGATCTGGATGTGTTGAGTTAGTTTAGGACTGGGGTGTTGATCTGTGAGTGCCTTGGGTGGGGCCTGGATGAGGCTGGTTGACCTAGAGGGAAATGTCTTTTGTGTGAAGTGTATCATTGGGCATGTGGAGGTATTATTGATATGAGAAAATGCTAAATAACTGATTTACTATCTGAAAAGGGATTTACTATTGGGGAAATTGAGGGAAGAAGAGACTGAACATAAACTGCACCTATGGATGAGGACAATGGGGGGGGGGACGGAGGGTGGGGTGGGAACCTGGTGGAGGGGGGAAGAAATGAGGAACCTTTGTAATAATATGAACAATAAAGATTGATTAAAAAAAAAAAAAAAAAAAAAAAACTAAAAATAAAAAATAAAAAAAAAAGAGGCTCGCTGTAGAAGTTGGAAGGGGCCAATCTAATGGAGAAAGAAGGTGGACACTGGTGTCAGTGGGATGTGTGGGTGGAAAGGCAGAGCTGAAGAAGGAAGCCTGGGGACCCAGCTGAAGGAGTGTGGGCGGTGAATGATGAAGCCTCGGGTCAGGCAGGCCAGGCTGGCAGGGTGCAGCTGTTGTCTTTCTGTGCTAGGCGCTGTGTTTCCATTAGTGAATCCTCCCCACCATCTTAGGAGGGGATACCACTATCCTCTCTATTATACAGACAAAAAGCAGCTCAGGGTGGTTCAGAAACTCGCCCTCGCTCACACAGACAGGAAGGGGCCGTGCAGGTGTTCCCGACTCTGACCCAAGTCGGGCCTCCCATAGCCGGAACCTGACAAAACTCCACTTCGATGTAATCCCGTCCGCACTCCCTGACAGGGAATGGCGAGGAGGTGAGACTGTCTCCGCGGAGCCTTTGGCGAAGCCTCAGTCATCACCTCTGAACCCGGCACAACTCTGCACCCTGCACTCCACGCACCGGGCCTGGGAGGCTCCGGGGAGCGGCACGCATGCGCGAGGCCGTGGGGCTGGGGGGGGCGGAGACTGGGGAACCGCACCTGCCGGGCCGGGCGGGGACCCGGGCGCCCGGCCACCGGCTGCGCGCGCGCCGGCCCCGCCCTCAGCCTCTCCAGGCACCTGTTGGCTCGAGGGCCTACCCGGCCGCGGCTTCCACCCAATAGGCAGCCTCCCTGCCCCAAACTGACCCCGCCCACTTCCAGGATTAGCCAATCGACGGGCAGCTGGGCCGCCTCTCCCTCCGAGGGCCCGCCCCTCTGGACTCTTCTTCCGGGTGGGGCCGGGGGCGAGGCGATGGCGCCGTGGGCGCTCCTCAGCCCCGGCGTCCTGGTGCGGACCGGGCACACGGTGCTGACCTGGGGGATCACGCTGGTGCTCTTCCTGCACGACACCGGTGAGCCGGACCGCGCCGCCCGGACCGCCCGCCCCCGTGGCTCCCCAAACATTTGGGTCTCACTGGGCCCCCCGCCGAAGCCCCAGAGACCCTGGGGTACCGCCCGCCTCCGCCGGCTCCCTTCTGTCATTCAAGTTTCCGCCTAATTCCTCAATTCTTCCCCGCCAATCCCCAATTGCTCCCAGCGTCTTCCTGGTCCCTTCCGGGTGCCCTGTCCACCCCAGAACCCTTGCGATAGCCACCTGATCGATGACCAACTCCAGTCCCCATCTCCCCTGATCTCGGGATCAACCGATCCTTTCTGGGAATTGACTCCCAACCTTTCCTCCGTGTGATTCTGAGAAAAAACTAGATCCGGGGCTGGCATCCCTCCCAGCCCCGTGGCCACGCGCTGCCCAAGTCCAGGCTCCCCATCCTCAGGCAAGAGAGCACCTCACAGGGGAGTGGCCGCTCCTCCATGTCCCCGCCCTTGCTTCTTGCCCTGGGAGCTCTCACTTACCCCACAGACTACCCCCCCCTCCATCCCTCCCTGAGGTCCCCACAGGCGCCTCCAGAACAAGGTCTCTCCCTCCTCCCTCCCTCCCACTCCACCCCCTTGCTCCAGCCTCATCCCCTGGTGTTCTCACTTTCCTCCTAAAACCTTCTCAAGTCTCCTCCACAGTCTTTGCCCTTTATTTTTTAAAATATATTTTTATTGATCATTGATCGGCTGACCCCTGCACACCCCCTACTGAAGGAGTCCACAACCGGGGCATGTGCCCTTATCAGGAATTGAAACATGACCTCCTAGTTCATAGGTCCATGCTCAACCCTTGAGCCACGCCAGCTGGGCCAGTCTTCCCCCTTTAGCCTAAAAACCTGCTCAGTCTCCCCACCAGAAAGAAACCCCCCTTCTTTCTCTGCTCCCTTTTACAACCAGAGTTGTTTCCTCCGCTGTCTGGCTATCTCACACCCCTCGCATCTCAGCCCCTGCCTCTCCCAAATCCTCAGTCACCTCATTGGTCTGGAGCCTTCCCTGCCCTGGGCTGCCATCTTGGCCCTTGGCAGCATCTGAGCCTGCCAGTCCCGCCTTCCTGTCTGTCTCATGAGCATCTCAGACCTGGCTGGTGCCCCGTGGTGGAGCCAGAGGCAGGGACCCTCCTTCACTCCCTAACCCCCTGTCTGTCCATCTCCTCCTCTCCGCTCTGGTCCAGCCACCTGCCTCTCCCTGCGGGACAGCCCTCTGCCTCCATGCTTCCTCTCCGATCACCTTCTCTTCTCTCCACTGGGGAGGTTCCCAGAAGCAGATCTGCCCTGTGAGCTTCCCTGGTTCCCTGTCGCCCTCCGGAGAGGAGAGATGAACTGCCCCTTTTTTTCTTTTTGCTGGCCCTGAATTCCTGTACCTATGCAGGAGACACACCTGACCACCCATCAAACCCCATCTCCGGGCCTTTGCTCCCCACCTCCCCCTGTGGCTGCCCCACCACCTTCCCCCACACACACACCGCCTGTCCCCCAGCGGCCTCTCCCCTCTGGCCTCTGCAGCTCTGCGGCAATGGGAAGAAGAGGGGGAACTCCTTCTGCCCCTCACCTTCCTGCTCCTCGTGCTGGGCTCCCTGCTGCTCTATCTGGCCGTGTCACTCATGGACCCCGGCTACGTGAACATCCAGCCCCAGGTAACGGGGGAGGGGGGGGGGCTGGCCTGAACCCCTCCTCCCACCACAGGACACCCAGAGCCCCAAAACAGTCTCATGCCAGATTCCTTTTCTGGGGCATCTCAGTGCATCCTCTCACCAGCCCTAGAAACGCTTCTACAGTGAGGAAATCGCCAAGGCCCAGAGAGGGAAAGCAACTGGCAAAGGTCACACAGCCTCCCTAGGTCCAGGGCACTCTGCCCCACTCTACCGCCCACATCACACATGGGATGGCCTCCAAAACGTGTTCGCCAGCCATCTGCCTCCCAAGGGGACCCCATCTTACGCCCCGGCCCCCATTTTCAGGAGGAGGCCAAGGAGGAGCAGACGGCCATGGTTCCTCAGGCCATCGCCCTCCGGCGCTGCAGACACTGCATGGTGCTGGTGAGTGGCTCGGGGACTTCCCGGAGGGTCAGGGGTAAAGTGGAGACGGATCACCTCCTGCCCCAGCGCCTCGGCCTCATCCCCCAGCCCCCCACAGATTCAGGCCCAGCCTCCCACCCTCACCCCTGCCCGCTCTGTCGATCTGGAGGGGAGCCGGTGCTGAGCCCCGCTCTCTGCCCAGCAACCCCTGCGGGCCCGCCACTGCAGTGAGTGCCGCCGCTGCGTCCGCCGCTACGACCACCACTGCCCCTGGATGGAGAACTGCGTGGGGGAGCGGAACCACCCGCTCTTCGTGGCCTACCTGGCACTGCAGCTCGTGGTGCTTCTGTGGGGCCTGCACCTGGCATGGTGGGTCCCGCCCCACCCTGTGTGTGTGTGTGTGTGTGTGTGTGTGTGTGTGTGTGTGTAGGGGGGCCGCACGTGCCCGCAGGTGTGCACAGCCGGACACCCTCTCTAGGGGGCCCGGACCCCTTCCCAAGCGGCCTGCCCTCCTGGGCTCCCTGGGGTGCCCCTGCCTTCTCCCTGCTCGGGGCCCCCATCCCTCTGCTGCCCACCCCGCAGGTCCGGCCTCCGCTTCTTCCAGCCCTGGGGGCTGTGGCTGCGGTCCAGCGGGCTCCTGTTCGCCACCTTCCTGCTGCTCGCCCTCTTCTCCCTGGTGGCCGGCCTGCTCCTGGCCTCGCACGTCTACCTGGTGGCCAGCAACACCACCACCTGGGAGTTCCTCTCCTCACACCGCATCGCCTACCTCCGCCAGCGCCCCGGCAACCCCTTCGACCGGGGCCTGGCCCGCAACCTGGCCCACTTCTTCTGCGGGTGGCCCTCGGGGCCCTGGGAGACCCTCCGGGCCGAGGAGGAGGAGGAGGAGGAGGAGGAGGCAGTGGAGGGCGGTGGCCAGGCTGTTTAGGGTTGCGGGAGGCAGAGCCACCATCTTGTGCCTGAAAATGAAGGGCAGGCCCTCCCAGCCTCCCAGCCTCCGAGCCTCCGAGCAGACTGACCTCCAAGGAGGGAGGGAGGAAGAGGACCTATTCGGGGCGAGGGCACCTGTGCCCGGGACATCCAAAACCTCCACTCACCCTCCACGCCGGAATCCTTCCAGTGCACAGTTTTATACATTTAATAATCCATAAAGCAAGTCAAGTATTAAAAACCAAACCAAATGACTCCTCACCAGGCCACCCTTTCTGTCCACGTCTGGCTGAGCACGGGAGGGTGGGGGGAGCACCAGGCCAGAGACTGAGCCGAGCCCCCTCCTCGGGTCCGAAAGGGGATAAATACCAGGCGAGGCCTGGGCCTCGGGGCAGGGCGCACAGCTGGGCAGACGGGGGGGGGCGGGCAGTGAGGCCCTAAGAGTCCGGGGGACGGGACAGGGACACGGGGGAGGCCCTCAGGGCTGCAGGAACCGCTCGGCCACAAAGTCGAAGTCCCGGAAGGCGGCCTGCTGGCGGGCAGTGAGGGGGCCGCGGGGGTCCGGCGGGGTCAGGGCAGGCGGCAAGCCCGTGAACTCGCCCTCAAAGTAGCGCAGATCCGTGGGCCCGCAAAGGGTGGGCACAAAGGGGGGCTGGACAGCGCGGGCCAGCAGGGCCTGCCAGTCAGTGGTCTGGGGACAAGGGCAGAGGTGCCTGAGCTGCCGGCAATGGCAGCCCACGCGGCGCCCCCTCCCCGCCCGCTGCGCCCTGGCCACTCACCCTGAAGAAAGGCTGCGTCTTGATCTCCTCGGCGTCCTGCTCGCCTGCCCCCAGGCGCTTCTCCGGGCACTTCTGGAGGAGCTGGGCGAGAGCAGGTGCTCACCCAGGGCATGGGCCCCGGGCACTGCCGCCTCCCAGGCCCCCAGGAGGGGTGGTGACTAGACAGCCGTGAGCCAGGAGCAGCTGCCCGCCCAGCCCTGCACCTGCAGGTAGTTACCTTCTGAATGAGCTCCAGCCCTTGCACCGACAGGAAGCGGGGGTACGGGGCCTCCGCGTTGACGATGCAGTCAAACACCTCCTCCTCGGTGTCCCCTGGGAATGGGCACTGCGGGGACGGGGGGCTCAGTGGGGTGCACGGGCCACTCCCAGCGCACCCCGACCTCTAGGCCCCGGCAGTGCAGGCTCGGCACTCACCTCACCCACCAGCATCTCATACAGCAGCACGCCCAGCCCCCACCAGTCCACGGCCCGGGTGTAGGCCTCCTGGGTCAGCACCTCGGGGGCCAGGAACTCTGGGGTGCCACAGAAGGTGCTGGTCCGGTCCCCAAAGCCAATCCCTGCAGATCAACAGCCACACTGATGCCGGCTCAGTGTGTCTGGTCCACAGTGACCTCTGTGGTTGTAAGAACCAACAGCCAACCCTTCTGCCCCCCTGTACCTAACCCGTGCCAAGCCCTGCGCCCTACTCCGGGAGGCAGGAATGGATTTTACGACGTCGGAAGGAGGCGGCGAGGCTTAGCCAAGCTCACATCCCAAGACCCTCTCCCAGCTCCGGAGCACAGGCCCTCCCGTGGGCCAGGGGAAGCCAGGCTCTTCGGAGCCTGTAGGGTTGGGAAAGAAGCCCAGTGTGTCCACTGGTTCCTGGAATGCGGGTGAGGGGGGGAGATTTCCCAGGAGAAGCCCCTGCTGGCCTGGACCCGGTGAGAAGGCTGGCGGACACAGGCTCCTGGACAGGGACACCCACCTTCCTTACACAGCCCAAAGTCTGCGATCTTCAGGAAACCCTGGGCATCCAGCAGGAGATTATCCAACTTAAGGTCCCTGGGGAGGAGAGGGGGGCAGAGCAAAGGGGCCCTGGACCGGCGCCCAGGAGAAAGACCGCATCCGCTCCCTCGCACTCCCCCAGCACCTCAGGGAGGAGTTACCTGTAAATGATCTTCTTCTCGTGCAGGAACTGCAGCCCCAGGACCACACAGGCCAGGTAGAACCTGGAGGGAGTCAGGGGAAGCTTAGGCCCAGGACTGGGGGGTGGGGGGAGGGCAGGGAGGCACAGGATGACCATGGCCTGGGACCCCTGAATGAGGGCAAGCAGCTGGGACAAGCCTCATGCGGGGGTTGGGCTCCACCAGACAGCAGCCCAAGGTCGTCCCAAGGTTGCTGCCAGCTCACAGCTTACTCTTCCTGAGGACTTAGGTCTCCTTGTCCCTCCTCCTCCCAGCAGCCTGCAGGCCTGTTTTCCAACCGAGGATCTGAGCCCCCAGGTGAGGGATGTGCCCAGAGTCACAGCTAGGGGCAGAGCTGATATGAGCCCAACTTCAGGGCGCACTCTGGTGCACAAGAAATAACTTGCCTCTGACACAGTTCTTTCTAACCCGATTCCTCGCTACACAAACTGGGGCTCAAGGCCCCCAATGCTGTGAGAGCTCATAACCAGGATTGGAACCAAGGCGTCCCTGGCTCCCTGCTCTGCGCTGATGGGTGCCTGAGGAAGCGGGTGGAGGGAGGCGGTCCAGGAAACCTGGTCGGCCTGTGGAAGAGGCAGACGAGGTTTGGAAACGCACCGGGCCTGGGGCTCAGGGAAAACGTCCTCGTGGATCTGCATCATGAGGTCGCCCCCCGGAGCAAACTCGGTCACGAAGCAGGCGTGGCTGGAGGTCTGGAAGCAGGCCAGGAGGGACAGCAGGAAGGGGTGCCCCGTGCGGCCCACGGCCTCCAGGATCCGCTTCTCGCAGTACAGGCTGCAGGGGAGGGCGTGGGGTTCAGAGGGAAGGAGACCCTTCCCTGGCTGTGCCCTGCCAGTCCAAGGGCCAGGCAGCTACGCAGAGCTGGTTTCTGTGTACCAGGGGCTCATGGGGCCATTTCACCTGCACAACCACCACTGTCCCATCTTACAGATGAGAAAACTGAGGTGCAGAGGTAAGAGAGGCCCTGAACAAGGGCCTATCATTAATTGCAGGTGCTTAAAAAAAAACACAAAACACAAAAACCCAGGCCTGGCTGGCCCCAGGTCACCACTTCAAAGCCCAGGAGTGTCCAGCTGCCCTCCGGTTCCCACAGCCCAGGCCAGCCGTCTGGAGCCCGCTGCAGGGCCGGGTGTCCGCGGAATCACCACACACCTCTCTATCTCGTCCCGGCTCAGCACCTCCTGCTTCTTCAGTGCTTTGATGGCGTAGTATTTCCCCGTGCCCTTGAACTGCACCAGGAGGACCTGGGGACAGAGGAGGGCTGGGCTCCAGGGGGGCAGTACCGGGGTTAGGATCCCAGCGTCCTCCCAGCTAACGCTCCGAGGGCTGGCCACCCGCCACGGCACCCACCTTCCCGAAGTGTCCCCGGCCCAGCACAGCCAAGCAGCGGAAGTCCTGAAGCCGTGGGGGTTTCCTGTAAGAGAGAGGCCACAGGCAGCCCCCGGGCCAAGGGCTGGGCCTCCACCAACCCTTCGTGCCCAATGCTGGCCTGGCGCCACCTATGGGACTGGCAGGCCGGGGGCTCAGGCCGCAGGTGCCGGGAGTACAGCTGGGCTCAATGATGTTGATTCAGCCCTAACCGGTTTGGCTCAGTGGATAGAGCGTCGGCCTGCGGACTGAAGGGTCCCAGGTTCAATTCTGGTCAAGGGTATGTACCTTGGTTGCGGGCACATCCTCAGTAGGAGGTGTGCAGGAGGCAGCTGATCGATGTTTCTCTCTCATGGGTGTTTCTAACTCTCTATCCCTCTCACTTTTTCTCTTTAAAAATCAATAAAATATATTAAAAAAAAAATAATAGTCAAAACTGGTTTGGCTCAGTGGATAGAGCGTCGGCCTGTGGACTGAAAGGTCCCGGGTTCGATTCCAGTCAGGGGCATGTACCTTGGTTGCGGGCACATCCCCAGTGGAGGTGTGCAGGAGGCAGCTAATCGATGACTCTCTCTCATTGATGTTTCTGGCTCTTTATCCCTCTCTCTTCCTCTCTATAATAAATCAATAAAATATATTTTTAAATAATAAAATAATAATAATGTTTCAGAACGAGAACCTGAGAGTGAGCTATGAGCACCCAGGAGCCAAGGGGTGGGGTGATGACCGAGGGGACACGCAGGCACTAGAGTGAGTGGATAACGTCTCCAATAAGAAGGTGAACTGTTGGGGTACCTGGTCGCGGGGGCTGATGGAGGTGACCCCAGTCGAGTCCTGGGCTCCATGTGGGGGCGTTTGGTGCGCTGTGAGGGAGAGGGGCTCAGGGCAGCACAGGGCTTCCTCCCTCCCTCCCTCCAGCTCCGCCACCCCCAGCCCAGCACCCCCAGGGCTACCGGCCCCCTCACCGGCGTCTCCTCCAGGGCTGGCTCCCGGGGCAGGTAGAGGCGTGGGGGCTTGGGGGGGGGCCTCATCTCTTCTCCCAAGGGGGTCTTCTTGGGTGGGAGACTACTGTGGGGAGGGAGCAGACACATGGTGGGCACAGGCAGACAGAACAGCGGGGGATGGAGACACAGCCATGCCGAGGTGGGGGGCAGGAGTCTGGGGGGTGAGGTGGCAGCTTCTCACCTGGGCGAGGCAGGGCTGGAGGCTCCCCGAGGTGTGGCCGGGGTGCGGGGGCACCCTTTGGGAGGGCTGACGGTGCTGGGGGAGCTGCAGGGGGGCAGCAGGTTCATGACCAGGCGCCCCCAGGCTGCCATGCTGAGGTTCATCTGGGAAGCCCGCAGGAAGTCCTGGCCTGGGGCAAAAGGGAGGCTCAGGCCCGGGGCCCCCTGATGCCCCAGCCCCTCCCACCTGCGCAGCCGTCCTGGCCATACCCCTGCGTTTAGAAAAAATGCGTTTCTGCCTCTGCAGCCGGGGCCTCCTCTCAATGACGGGGTCACAGAAGGTTACCTGCGGGGTCACAGGAGGTTACCTGAAGCCCAGTTCCCCCCCCCCCCCCCCGCCGCCATGGGCACCCCCAGCCTCCAGGATCCCAGCCTGAGCTCCCAGTGACAACGATACAAGAGCCAGAAGGGCTCCGAGAGACAGAGTCAACATCCTCATGGGGA